GATTCTGGAAGGTGAACTAAAAATAATGGGAATGTCTCTAATCCTTCCACTGAAATTTTTATGAAATACAGAACGTGATGGAAACATTTTCTAGGAAAAGAAAATATATTTCTGACCACGTAAGAAGGAACAAGTATATGTTTATTACCCATTAAAGTGAAGCTGCTTCTTATAGCTGTTAGTTTAATCTCCCCTTAATCATCAGTTTGCAACCTTTGTGTCCCAAATCAACCATAATAAATTTATATAGCCGACTCACCAGTTTAGAGAATGTTGGCCCAAGACAAAAGCACAGAGGTGAATCCAGGTTCTGCTCAGAGCACAGAGACTCTGGGTCAGTTGGTGGGGGTGGAGGGGGGTGTATCTGAGACAGAAGCCATCGCTGAGGGTGAATGGGGGTCAATAGGGGACCAGTAGGTGATGTGGTGGTTAAGGTACTGGACTCCCACATAGTCGACTGAGGGACCTGGCACCTTGGAAAACATGCCAGGTGTATGTGTGGGTGTACCCAAAATCCCTAAAGGAGAATGGAGGAGGGAAAACAATGTGGCCACCCCCTGGGGGCATGATTTCTCACTTTCCCTCTCACTGTCTCTTTCTGTCTCTCTCCAGGGAGTACACATGCCCTATGGCCAAAAAAAGAAAGAAAAAGAAAAGGAAAAATGGGGGTCAGTGGTCATGGCAAAATTAACAGGAGAGAATGAACAGAATTTCCTCGGCTACAAGTTCCAGCAGGGTGACTCTTGTATCTCCCTCTGCCAACTCTGTCTCCATCCTCAGCCCAGTGAAAACAGAAGTGGCCTCCTCACTGCCATGCATGCACTCAGGCCCCTCACGCCCGCCCAGCTTCTCCCCTCAGCGGTCAGGTGTGGTGATCCTGAGGGAGGCTCCTTTGTCAGCCTGGCCCCCCAAGCACAGAGTCATACAGCCATCCTTCCTGCCCCCCCACTGGCAGGTGTCTCTTCACCTCCATCTAGTCCTGGCTTCTCTGACTTGAGTGTGCCCTGGGATTTCCTGAGGGGTGTGTAAACTATGGATGTCAGGGTGTACTTCCCCCAGTTCTAGTTTGGTGGGACTGCCTAAAGCCATTTGCATTCCTCAAAAACTCCCACATGGTGACGATGATGACAGTCCCTGGACCAGACTCTAAGTAGCACTGGCCTTGCTCAAAATGCCAGCCAGTTCCTTGGGTCTTCAAGTTAAAGACAGGGCTTATCAATTCCTCACACAGCTGAGCCAGCGATTTCTAGTAAGCAACCTGTGGCCCAGCCAAGATGCTGCTGCCCTGCAGGTCAAGGCCACATGGAAGGTCAGCCCATTCTAAATCGAAGACATACAGCCAGAGCTAGCCGATGGCATGGTGGGTAAGGTGGCCAGATCCCACATGGTGACTGTGTGGTCTGAGTCCCAGACCTGGTGGCTTAAAAAGCATACCAGGCAGGTGTGTGTGCCCAAAATTTCAAGAAGAGAAGCAAAGAGAAGGGACTGAGGCATGACCACCCCTTCTCAGAGTGGTGATTTCCCACTTTCCCTCTCTTTTTCTGTCTTTCTCTAGTAAGGATGCATGCCCTCAAGCAAATTAAAATAAATAAGGAGCTACCAGGTGGCGTAGTGGTTAAGATGCTGGACTCCCATGTGGCTGACTATGGTTCAAGTCCTGGACCCAGTGGCTTGAAACTTACACTGGGTGTGTGTGCTCACCCAAGATCCCAAGAAGAGAATGGAGAAGGGATTACACCAGCCATCCCTCACCCCCAGGGGGCGAGCTCTCACTTCAGTCTCTCTGTCTCTCCAGCAAGTGCACACACTCTGTAGCAAAAATCTCTACAATAAATAAGTAAATAAATGAAATAACAAAATAAAATAATAAAAAGCCAGACACAGGGGTACATGTCCCAGCTACTTAGGAGGCAGAAGCAGGAGAGTCAGGACAGAGCAAGACCCTGTCTCAAAATGTAATAAATTGGGATTTTAAACAGACAAAGTAACAAAAGCCTGCCCACACTTCACCAGTGGCTCCAGTGGCAGTCACCTCCACATCCACTTGGAGTGAGGGTGGGGCTTTTCTGCATTAGAACTGGGAACTGGGTCCAGCAAGAAATTAATCACAAAGACAAATGCCACCTCCCACCAGCCTGTTCGAGACCTCTCGTCCCCTTCCATGGGGACAGTGACATTCGATCAGCATGGACCCCACAGCCATCCCTAAGACAAGCATGACAGGAAGGGGTGATGATTCTAAGTTTAATGGAAGCAGATGTTTGGGAGGGAGGAGGCCTGGGCAGAGAGGAACCTCAGGGAGCGGGGTGTCTGCCTGATGTGTAGTGATAAAGCAAAGGCTGGGATTTAACCGTGGCTGAGGGGAGAGGAGGAGGGGACTCGAGGAAAGAAGAGACACTCCCATCATCGATCCCCTTGGCTGTCACTGCGCTGAGGAATAGCATAATAACAGCTTACCCTGCGGATTGGCTGAGACCCTCCATTAGACAAATAATACATAATAAAAATGGCTTTAATAGAAACAGCAGCAACTGTAATCACTTAATCGCCGAGTCTCCCTCTTGAATAAGTTTACCGAATCTTGTGTTTTTAATGCACAAACCTTGCAGGAACCCTCCCTCGGGAGGGACTAGCAGGAGGAAGGAAGAGATAGAATTACCTCGATAAATCTGCCAGGGGCCAGATGCATTTTTATCACGAACATAATCGGGATCCAGATGACAGAGCAGGCGAGCATGAGCCACCCGAGCACCATGGACCAGTTAGGGTAGCGGTAGGCGCCATAGGTCATGGGCTCCCACTGGTAAAAGCTGAAGCAAAGGATAAACTGGAGAGGAAAGAGAAACACACGAGTCAGGATGCTGGCGGGACTTAGCCATGCACTCCATAGGCAGGGATTGAACCCGCTATGAGTCTGGTGCTTTTGTTATCTCATTTGGTATCCAT